GAGTTTTGTAGGCAAGCAACAATTTTCCTAAGTGGATGGCCTTAAGGTTTGATAAACCGGTAGAAGCTCCCACAATTACAGAACTTGTCTCGGCACCCAACGAAACTAGTAAAATTGTTAGTCTTACTATCCATGCCGTTATCAGGATTAAAGCAACTCGTGTTCGAAAGAAGTGATTAAAGTAAGAGAAATAAAATCAAGGAATTGTAAAAAAAAAGTCTGGTTAAACTTGAAAGCAATAGGGGTGGATAAACTGGGATCCATAATTTCACAAGCGGCATCTCTTCAATAAAAGATAACACGGTGTGGTGAGAAAATTACAATTAGTATCGATTAAACTGTAATTTTTAAGAGTATGATTATGTTGTTGGAGATATGTCTTAGAGGCAATCATGTGATGATAATATTTCCGTATGTATTTATTAGTTATTTGGAATATCCTTGAACATCATCAATGATATGTATCAATAAGTATGTGACTTGTTTGTGAAACTATGTATTGTATGACGGATGTTCTAATGATCCCTAGTTGATAAGGTTATGCGGACACATACCGTTCAACTAGTGTATACGATTCGGTCGATGACTATGTTTCACAATTCATGGGTATAGACATGCGAAACCGATAGTATGGACTCTGGGATGGAGATCACAAAGTCGGACAAAACCACTTTCAGATGCCACGAGCAAGCCACCAACGATTCCGAACTTTGCCAGCGCGGACCAAGAGAACTGCAAAGCCCTATTACACTAAGACGACCGCAACAGGGACATCACATGCTCTCCTGTCGATCTGATCAACCGCCACTGCCACCGCACCCACCAAGTAAGCAACCATGAAACCCTTGCGAGCACTCGCTAGAATCGCGGGAGAACGTGGGGAATCTGCGGGAGGGGGAAGAGGGGAGCGTACGATTCTGATCTTGAGGTGGCAGGAGAAGCGGCCGAGGATGGGGCGCTCCGTCGGCTCGTCGTCCTTCTTCGACGCCTTGGGCGGCATCGGGCGAGGCTCCGCTGCGGCGAGGGGGTGTGCTGGGGAGGAACCCGCCTATGACAACCAGTCAGCAACACACATCGATGCCCAAGCAGCTTCTACTTTGTCAACGAGCAAGAAAGAGTCGGGCCTGTGCCGAACAAGCGTCGGAAGGGACTACCCATCTCGTGTCATCATCACCACGAAGGCCCGCCTCAGCAGATCCGACTTTAGAAAGAACGAGTGAGGCACGGTGACCCCTTAAACACGCCGAATAAAACCGACTACCAAAACTCAATCACAACTCACCCGAAGTCACCATTGTTGCCACGCGAAAGCCGCGCACAACCAGCCACATTGTCGGAGGAACACCTACCGACCGCATTGTCGTGAGCGTCTAGCACATGAAGGGCGTGAAGGGAATCGAGAGGTCTCTTCAAGACGATGCTCCGGAAAGGGAAGCGACCCGACCCAACTGAGCCTTAGGATTTTACCCGAAGAACTGAATCTGAGGGTGTGCCAGAGATCAGTGGCGGATCTAGGACCCAGGCCGGGGGGCCTGGGCCCTGGGCGTGAGGAATGCACACTTCCTTCAATATAGCATGAATGGCACTGTAGCGTCACTGTAGATGCATTGTAGCTGGCCTAGGGTCCGGGGCTTAGCCCAATCCTGGGTTCGCCCCTGCCGGAGATGAACTCCACATCGGCGCCTCCAAGGAGGTGAAATGACGCCCAAGGACATCGACGTCGCCGGTCGACAAGAGCTTGGCAAGTTCACCAGGAGCACCGCCTAACACGAGATACCCATGCATCACACCTCCACTAGCCCACACACTCGCGTCATGACCATACAAGAGCCACCACAAACCTCATCGCCAGCCAAAAACCGACCCAGCAGACTCCAGCAAACCGGATTTGCACGAGACAGACCAGATCTAGCGTCCCACCGTTGTTGCACCGCATCTGCAACCACGCGGACGACCTACGCGGGAATGACCTCTAGAGAGAGGGAAAAAGGGGTGCCACCCCCACCCCATCTCGCAGGGAAAGAGTAGTCGGGGCGGAGCCATGGAGGTCGTCGACAAAGTTGTCGCAGCTGCCAACCGGACTTAACCCGAAGGCCTCCTTCGATAGGGATGAGGGGAGGAGGTGGGGATTGCAAGGAAAGATGGTTAGCTGTTTTCTTACATTTCAAAAGTCATTGTTGGGATTTTTTTCTGGCAAGACTCTCTGTCCCAAAATAGTGTTTTTTTCAATGCCAAAACTTGCAAAGTTTGAGCAAGTTCATAGAAAAAGTTATCAACATCTCGGATACCTGATCAATACCATAAGATTCAACATTATATTTTCATATGGTCTCTCCATTCCAAAACAATCGAAGTCATAGATTTGTCATAAGTCCAACTTGCTCTAGTTTGACCAACTCTATAGAAAAATATGCTAAGATTTACAACACCAAATACTGATAATATTGAAATATGATTCCATGAGACTAACTTGTGTTGTACAGGTTAATCTATGTTTCGATAGACTTGGTCAAACTAAAACAAGTTTGACTTGAGACAAACCCAAAACTTCAATTATTTGGATCGAAGGTAGTTTTTGATATTGCAGACATGTTTACTTCTTTTAATAAACTTGATGAACATTCATGAAGATTTGCTATAAAAAACAATATGCACCAACTAAAATTTAGAGCTCAATACTAAGATATTATGAACCCTAAGATAAGTTTCACTTGAGCGCCACATTTAATCAGTGCAGGCATGTGATTTTGTCTCTTTTTTTTCTCTCATGGACGGAGAGGTACTCAATCAATTTAAGAGGCAATATATCCAAAAAAGTAATCAAAGTAATTTTCTATGTAAAATATTAGTAAGAATTATGGAGCTACACATGCAACAACGGTAGAATTGCATAACAAATAACTTTGCATCCTAATTACGACAAAGTTGTCCAGTCACACGTTACAACTTCCAGTTTTCCGATAGAGCTGAGCAGTTCTAGCTCACGAATGAAAAATTATATTTTTCATCCCTTCCAGTTGGTGCTTATAGCCTCCCCGCACAGTCTGCAATCAGTACTGATAGTACCTGGCTACTTGCAAGTGAACCCAAAAATGCTAAAATACACGACCCTGTGATGAATTCATCACTTCTTTCCGCCTCCAGAAACATTGAACTTGAAGAAGATGATGTCTCCATCCTGCACCACGTACGTCTTCCCTTCCTGCCTGTACTTCCCAGCAGCCTACAATCCATCAATGGCAAACGGTTGCGTAACTCATAACATTGAGTTTAAAGATCAAAAGTAAGGCAACTGATGATACAAATCATCTAGCATAGACGAGCTTGTGCACACCTTGACAGCAGATTCACTGCCCAGCTCTTTTAGATCTTCAAACTTCATTACCTGATCAAAAAGAGTAGATTTATATATAAGAATTATCAAGGAATACTTCAAGTTAACATAATGAAAGAAGCTTCAGTAAACATCAAGATTTTTAAAAAAACAAGCAATAATTAACTACAAAGTGCAAATAGTAAGCACAGCAACAATTAACTACACTGTCAACTACGAATGCCACAGTTCGATTTATTCCAAATAAAGGAATTGTGTCTAGCTATTTCAGAAAGGACTCTACCTCAGCACAAATGAAGCCTCTTTCAAAATCAGTGTGAATTGCACCAGCAGCTTGAGGAGCTTTAGATTGACGTCTGATCTGCCAGCACTTCACCTGAAAGGAGAATTCAAGCTTATAAGCTAGCAGAAAATTGTCAAATGTATTCAGAAACTCCTACTTGAAACTTCAAACACGAACAGACATCTGAACAACCTAATACATTCCTCCCCGTTTAGAACATAACCAGCCAACAAGATGCAACTTTGACCATTATTATTGATGTGTCAGTAAAAAACAGAATTATGAAAAGAATGATATTATTTCCATTTGTCAAATCTCATTAAATTCTTTCGAAAATGTTAACGCCCACACGTGTGGGCGTTAGCCAACTCGTCCACACGCCTCCATCACCGTCCAGTAACTTCTGCACGAATCTTGGCACGAATTAGCTCATTTTGTATGCCACGTAGGACAACTCGCGTGTGTGGTGTGTGAGAGAGGTCGCCCACACATCCGTTTTACCACACGGAGGGGCCAGTGTGTGGGCGTTTAGCAGTTCACCCACACACCAGTTTTTCAGTCACGCACAAGGGCTGGTGTGTGAGCGTTTGCCATCTCGCCCACACACCTGCCTCCTCTCCCACACCCAAGCTGCCAGTTGCCATGCGTTTTGCAGTGTACATGGCAACTGCCCTAGTATGATTGCAAGCAGATGGCATCTCTCTCTTTTTTTTACCCGAACATGTCAGTTGCCATATGTTTTGCATGGTACATGGCAAACTGCCCTAGCGTGCACGTAAGCAGATGGCAACTCTTTCTTTTTAAATGGCAACTGCCCTAGCGTGCTTGTGAGCACATGGCAACTCTCTCTTTTACCCAAACATGTTTTTTGCCATGCCTTTTTTTGTAGCGCTACATGGCAACTGCCTAGTGTTAGTAGGTGGCAACTCCTAAAGTTTTGAAATCATGGCAACTGCAGTAGACCAGACCACACATGGCAACAGCTGTAGTTGTCCAAAAAATGGCAATCTGGAACTTTGACCTGAGATGGCAACTGCAGTTGAGCAAACATGGCAACTGTAGTTGTCCGACATGGCAACCGTAGTTCAGCGACATGGCAACTGCACTTAAACGAACATGGACGAGGGTCCGGCCCATGGCAACTGCGGGGCGCGCGGTAAAGTGTCACGTGGGGCGTGCAGGACCACGAGGTACGAGGCCTGACGTACCGGGCGTGTGGGCGTTATCTATTTCGCCCACACGCACGCGTGTAAGAGGGACCGGGAGGGAAAAAAGAGGCGTGTGTGCGCTAATTGTTTTGCCCACACACAGACGTGTGGGCTGGTCCTCTTAGGCACCACACAGAACGTGTGGGCAGATTCCTTAACGCCCACACGTGTGGCAGTTATCGGCGTCCAATTCTTTACATATTGATTGGGGAAGTTAGAAGTTTGATTGCGCCCCTTATTTTGGAGCAGAGGCAATAATGAATAAAGACTGATGATGTATAAAGAAACAAGCATGTGAATTTTGCACGCCAAAAATGTAACAGGCTGATGTAGTACCACCATTTTAGCAAAATGAAGTAAAATGTTGCTTATACAACACATATTACTGGCACAAAGTAAGCACAATGTAAACATATAAATGTACCTCGTCGTGACCAGCTGTGAAGAAGTATATGAGATGAATTGCTGCAAAACCAGTCTTGATGATTTTGGGGATCAAACTGTTCACATTGGTGAAAGATTTAGTATAAATAAATTAAACAGAAAAAGTTGAGCAATATGCAAAGAGAAGATGCAATGCACGTTATAAATAAATAAACTTGATTGCTAGTTTAGACTACAAAAACGTCTTATATTTCGGTACAAAAGTAGTATCTTAATTGTGGTAATCAACTCAGCCAAAATATGCTACATGACTTGCCTTGCTGTCTGGTTTTCGGCGCAATATTTAGCAGCTTCATCTTCTGGCATATCCACTAGTTTCTGTTCAAAGGCACAGCTGAAAGGAATAATAGTCTCACCACCGTGTTCTTTCACCCTGAATAAGAAATAGTTAGGTATTAGCTAATATTCCAATACCCCCTTCTTGTAGGAAATTATGCATATTAGGTTTATGCTAATCAAACACAAAATCATCAGATTTGATCAAAATCACAACCATATGAACTACATATAATCAATTTCTTACTGCGGGCAAGAGCCTATAGCATACTTCAGAAAATACAATCAGTATCATGGTGGGTCGGTTCTAGGACTGAGACGGTGAGTACCAGGGGTGAGGGAGGGAAGTTTGAGGGTGGTGATCAGATCTTTACCGAACCTCTCGTTCAATGCTTAATTGATATGGTCGTGCCCCTATTATAGGAAAGACTCCAATTGATGCTGAAAGCATATATCACAACTTTCCTAATCAAAACGATATATTTATCTTCCAAACTAAACTGATCTCCTTTCCTAACTAAACAGATATACTCCCTCCGTCCCAAATTAAGTGACTTGACTTTGTACTAACTTTGTACTGAAGCTAGTACAAAGTTGAGTCACTTATTTTGGGACAGAGGGAGTACTTTGTAACTAAAAGACCTACTGTCCTTATCTTGTTCAAGTGGGTACAGTTCACGTGAATAAAAACTCCTGCTTAGTGCTGACAATACTCCTTAGCGCCGAGTGCTGACACATACCACTGGGACCTGACTCACTGCCAATGACATTTGCTGGTATTCATATGTAAGCGATCAACAAATTGTGTGATATTCTACCCTCAAATACAGAAATCACCAAGTCCAAGCGTAAACATTGGTTCTCTCTGACAGCAATTTTTCAATAATAAACCCAATGTGTTAAATCAGATAGCTTATGTACTCAACAAGCAAGTTGGAACAAATATCATATACAACGAGATATAATGATGGAAACTTGAAACGATCTAGCTTCAAAATGACCTATCCTGCTACATCAATTAGACTGTACATAAACAGAAGTTCCACAGAAAATCGGCATTCACAGTTTGAACTGCATTCTGTATAGCATGAGTTCATCTGCTATAGCCATTAGACTTGGGATAGAAACAATACCAAGCATGTATCTTTGGTAGAAACTTGTTCTTTTTCCTCAGGTAGTCCTTTTCACTCATGTTCACCTGCACAAAATTAACATACTAGACTTAGAAGCCCTATAAAGAAAAGGTGAATTTCTGTTTCAACTACTGACAGAAGGTCAAATCAAAGGATTAACCCAGTAAATGAGCTAAAGTTAGCAGAGCGATTAATGTCCATTTCACAGGATTACTCAAGCTGAACGTGGGATAATTCCAGACATCAGACATATTTCCTCTTGCTGTTAATATAAATTTAGTTTCAAGTGATGCATGCACAGCAGCTATATGTACCATCATATAACGCGTAAATCAGTAGGTTCTCCAAGTAGGATTAATGCTTCCCATTTCATTTCCATCTCCAACCAGTAAGTAATATCTAATCTTCACAAGCCCTTTCTACAGCACACCATCCCTATATTCCTATTAGGGATCCTGATGTGCCTTTTGAACCAAAAAAAGGGAAGAATCCATATGGAAACATCATATATCTTGGGATTTTGGCACCTCTTGCATACTTTGGTTCTTGCTCACGCATGGAGGTGCAACTTTAACAATTGCTTCAACTATTACTCCCTCCATTCCTAAATATAAGTCATTTTAGAGATTTCAATAAGGATTACATATGGATGTATATAGACATATTTTAGAGTGCAGATTCACTCATTTTGCTCTGTATGTAGTCCGCGTTGGAATCTCTAAAAAGACTTATATTTAGGAACGGAGGGAGTACAGAATTGCAGTGCCTTACAGTGGAATAAAACTGGCATGTGGAACTATAAAGGTTCCCCCACTCTAATGCAATACCAAGAAGCATGCAATAGTTTTTGTAGTTATGTTTCCAGTGATCAGACTAAAATCAGTTAATTGTCTATGTAGCATTCACTTCTTGCTAATTATACAAATACCAAGAGTATGGCAGATCGATTACCAGTCACCCGTCAGTTCTGTAATGGTCCAAAATTAATGTTGGAAAGCAGAAGTAGACAGGCAGCAATAACAAAACAGACAAAACAAGCAAAGCCGGGTTAATGTCACATTGATTGAACCCTAAAAAACATCACATTGGTTGAAATTCCGCATTAAATATGGGATGCCACTAAATTCTAGATGGCCATGCTGGTAAAGAAGTTCAAGCAACAAGCATGTAACTATAATTAATCAAATGATGTCATTGCTAATAAAAAGTTCAAGCAACAAAGCCTGTACATATTAATCAGATGAGACCATTCTTCCAATCCAAATAAGTAAAACTTACCAAATAAACAACTGGCTTAGCAGTAAGCAGCTGAAAGGCATTCAAGATCTCAATTTCAGCAGCTTTCCATTCTCCTAAACGTACGTCTTTCCCGTCTTGGAGATGTGTCATGACCTGTTATAAGGGAAAGTTGAAACTAAATTACCGATCAATCTACCGAATAAAGAACGATATACCAGTAAAGAAATTCCAATTGTTCATGAGATCTAACTGATTGATAGAAATGAAACAAAAGTGCAAAACAGCAGAGCTGTAAAACATGCCCTACCCTCTGACATAATTCATGGTCTATCTTAAGTTGCTTGTCATTGCTCCTCTTCATTGACTTCTCAAGGTCATCAATTTTAGCCTGCACAAACTCTATATCCTACAGAAGGAAGTGCAACAGAAAACCTTGTTACAGCTAGGTTAACAGTTGTTTAAGTTGACGAACAAATCAAGCAAAAGTCAAACGAAACCTTGAGCCTCAGTTCTTGACTAATAGTTTCCAAATCACGAACAGGATCAACTGTATCATCAATATGAGTGATTTCCGTGTCTTCAAATGCTCCTAAAATCATACCACACTATCAGCTACAGATACAGCAAAAGATTCTATCACATTAAAACCTAGAGCGTGATTGGTTTGGTGCCAAAAATTGGCATGCCAATATTTGGCATTGTGCCAAATATTGATTACTAATTAGTTGGTTACCAAGTTTTCTTGTCTATCAAACATAAAGTTGCCAATATTTGGCAAGTCTGGGTATTGCCAATATTTGCAATGCCAACATTTAGTCTTCTCAGTTAGATCTCCACCAAGATATCCAAAATTTTCACTTTTAACATACAGTATATAATACAGATAAGAATAGCCAAGGGAACTTTATTAAGAAGCATAATTCAATAGTTGAATCATAAACATTTTACAATAGAGACATACTCAAGACATGAAAGATTCCATCAACAGCACGTATATGGGATAAGAAGGCATTGCCCAGACCCTCCCCTGCACTTGCTCCTCTAACAAGCCCGGCTATGTCGTTGATTTCCAGATATGCAGCCACCTACAGAGAATAACAAGAGTCACTATACATCTGAAACATAAGCCAAGAAGCTGCAGATTACTGTAGAAGTGTAAAGCAGAGAAAAGAAACAGACCTCACTCTTTGGCTTGAAAAGTTGGCAAAGATAGTCAAATCGTTCGTCCGGAACATGTACCCGTGCCTCATTTGGTTCAATGGTACAGAATGGGAAGTTCTCAGCCGGGATGGACAACTTTGTTACTATGTTGAAGAAAGTTGATTTGCCAACATTGGGTAACCCAACCTGCATGAAACATCAATAGTAAACTTCATATCTCATTCTTATTCCTCTAAATGGCTACAGCAGAACAAGTAGTGCGCCAATCAACATTCAACAGAAGAGTAGTCCATTATGATTTATGATGAAATCTGAGATCGAATAAAGGATACAAGGGCAAGTACTGTTAAACACCATCAATGCAACTAGAGAAGTGCGGTAGTGGCAACTCATGAAACTTGTTGAATAGTACTACTAGTGCATAGTAACATGCTAATGGTGTCCAAGCAGACTGAGTTACATAGATAAAACTACAATTCGTCCTGCTTCTATTAGCATGTACTGACTTAAGATTTAAGCAGGGATAACATTTCATATGTTACACAGAGACAGCAAAGAGATCTATTCTAGAAGTAGTGAAGTAAATGGGGCGCATTCTGAGCCTGAATTGGGGTACAGATCCGACACTAGAACAGTTCCCTCGATATGTTTCCCCAACTCGCACTATGCGGCCCACCGAAACATATAAACTAGAACAACAAAATCATGGAATCCATGAGATCTGCACCAGGTTACAAGCCACGAGCTAGCCACCAGCGATTCCGAACTTCGCCAGCGCGGACCAAGAGAACTCCAAAGCCCTATTACACTAAGCCGACCGCAACAGGGACATCACATGCTCTCCTGTCGATCCGATCAATCGCCACCAAACCCACCAAGTAACGCAACCATGAAACCCCTGCGAGCACTCGCTAGAACGCGGGAGAACGTGGGGAATCCGCGGGAGGGGGGAGAAGAGGGGAGCGTACGATTCCGATCTTGAGGTGGGAGGAGAAGCGGCCGAGGATGGGGCGCTCCGCCGGCTCGGCGTCCTTCTTCGATGCCTTGGGCGGCATCGGGCTCGGCTCCGCTGCGGCGAGGTGGTGTGCTGGGGAGGAATCTGGGGATGGGCTAGCGTGTGTGGGAGAGAGAGAGATGTGGGCTGGACGGCTAGGGTTTTTGGTGGTAAGTGGTAGTTGCGGCGAGCTGAGAAGAACCGGGCACGGGTTTATCACGTGTAGGATGGGTTGTGCCTCGCGGGCCGGCCCATGGGCTCGGAATTTCAGTCCGACATGTGCTGGACACGGCATGCGATTAAAAGGGTCGGGTGTTAGCAGGAACACTTGGATATGACAATGGTTATGCTGTTATTAGTCGTGGTAGGAGTGGTGGAATCGGTTTGTTCTGGAACAATGCAATAAATTTAGAGATTTTGGGTTATTTTGATTATCACCTTCACTGCTCGGTCCTTGAACAGGGTAATGCTCCTTGGAGATTAGCTGTAGTTTATGGTGAAGCTCAAACTCACCTGAGATACAAGACTTGGGATACTTTGAAAAACATCAGTTCTTTGAGCAGTCTCACATGGCTCTGTGTTGGGGACTTCAATGAAGTGCTACGTCCGGATGAGCATGTGGGTGTTGGGCAGCGTAGCAACGCGCAAATACAAGCTTTCCGAGATGCTGTTGATGTTTGCATGTTGCTGGACATTGGATATTCTGATATTCCATGGACTTTTGAAAAGAAGGTAACGGGAGGAACTTTTACAAGGGTGCGCCTTGACAGAGCCATGGTGTCGGCTGAGTGGCAAGCACGCTTCCCGCTGGCTGATCTTACACACCTTGTAGCCGCAACATCAGATCATAGCCCAATTTTGGCCAGGTTGAATACGGACCAGAGAAGTAGGCATAGTGCGGGTTCCTTCAAGTATGAGGTCATGTGGGAGGGCCATGAGTCATGGAACAGCATGATAGCTGAAACGTGGGATGCGCATGGAGCTGCCGGCAGGGTGGAAGAGCTCAAAGTTAAGCTAGCTGCGGTTTCACGTGATTTGGGTCGATGGAACAGAGACACGTTTGGGAGCGTCCGCAATGAGATAAAACAGCTCAAGGACGAACTTGGAAAGCTTAGGGCGGACGCTAGCCGTACCGCGCCAACGCATGTTGAAATGAAAATCAATGAGACGCTTGTGGAGCTGTATCACAGGGAGGAAATAATGTGGAGACAGAGATCACGGGTGCAGTGGCTTACATCTGGTGATAGGAACACCAAGTTTTTTCACTTACGTGCAAGTATCCGGCGTAATAAGAATATGATCAAGGCGTTGCAAAACTCGATAGGGGTTAGCACTGATGATCTGGAGGAGTTAAAGGCTATGGTAAATGATTTCTATAAGAATCTGTACACTTCGGAGGGGGTTAGCGACATGGAGAGAGTTTTAAACTGTGTCCCAACCAAAGTCTCGGCGGAGATGAACGACATGTTGTGTGCCCCCTACTCAAACGAGGAGGTTAAGGCGGCCTTATTTCAGATGTTCCCAACAAAGGCGCCCGATCCTGACGGCTTTCCGGCACACTTCTATCAGAGACACTGGGAGTTATGTGGGACAGAGGTGACAACTGCTGTTTTGAGGATTGTGAGAGGGGAAGAAACACCGGAGAGTATAAACGACACCATCCTCGTTTTGATCCCTAAGGTAACAAATCCTTCCATCTTGTCACAATTTAGGCCTATTAGCCTTTGCAATGTCCTATACAAAATTGCATCCAAGGTCATTGCAAACAGGCTGAAGCAAATTCTGCCGGAGATCATATTTGAGGAACAATCAGCTTTCGTCCCAGGCAGGCTTATAACGGATAATATCATCAGTGCTTATGAGTGTCTTCATTTTATGAAGCGCAGCAAAGCGAAGGCTAACAGTTATTGTGCTCTTAAGCTGGATATGATGAAGGCATATGACAGGTTGGAGTGGGACTATTTGGAGGCAATAATGGGAAAACTGGGCTTTGTTGCGTCCTGGATAAAAACTGTCATGGCCATGGTCCGGTCTGTTTCCTTTTCAGTTCTCTTTAATGGACAAAAGCTTGATCAATTTGTACCAAGCAGAGGTATAAGGCAGGGAGATCCGATATCCCCTTACCTTTTCTTAATTGCAGCGAAGGGCCTTTCGTGCCTCCTGAAAACCAGTTCTTCGTCATCAAACATTGTAGGATTAAAGGTGGCACCTACGGCCCCAGCCGTGAACCATCTTCTTTTCGCAAATGACAACCTGCTGCTTTTAAGTCAGGGAATGAGGGGGTAGTAGCGGTATCAAACCTACTGGATACATACTGTTTGGCATCAGGACAGAGGATAAATCACGATAAGTCATCAATCTTTTTCAGCAGAGGATGCCCACAATAGGTCAGGGATGATATGAAAAATATTCTGAATGTGCAAAATGAGTCACTCAGTGACAGGTACCTAGGTATGCCAACAGAGGTCGGTCACTCGAAGAATGGGACATTCAAGTACTTGCCAGATCGTGTATGGGAAAAGGTGAGAGGGTGGATGGAAAAACTCTTATCCTCCACAGGGAAAGAAGTTCTTATCAAGGCGGTTGCTCAGGCAATCCCAGTTTACTCCATGGCATGTTTCCGTCTTCCTCGGGGCCTATGTGAAAGTGTTACTTCGCTAATCAGACAGTTCTGGTGGGGGAGCAAACAAGGAAAATAGAAGCCTAGCTGGGTGGCTTGGGACGTGATGACTTTATCAAAGAACCTAGGAGGTCTTGGTTTTAGAGACATGGAGATGTTTAACTTGGCGCTTTTAGCTCAGCAGTCATGGCGTATGTTGCAAAATCCACTGTCTTTAAGCGCGAGGATCCTGAAAGCAGTCTACTACCTCATAGAGACATCTTTGGTGCATCCCTGGGATCACACCCCTCGCAGATTTGGCGAGTTGTCCTCGATGGCCGGGACATAATGGTGCAAGGTTTGGTTCGTAGAATTGGAGATGGAGAATTAACCAAAATTTGGGAGGACAACTGGTTGCCGAGATCACATGCAAGGAGGCCAATTGCTTGCTTAGTTGATGACCCACTGAGGCTGGTGGCTGAACTGGTTGACCACGCATCGTCTACCTGGAACGAAAACTTGGTGCGCTCGGTGTTCATACCGTTAGATGCAGAGGCCATCCTACAAATTCCCCTATGTACAAGACAGGTTGATGACTTTTGGGCTTGGGCCGAGGAGCGAAAGGGTTTCTTTTCAGTCCGTTCAGCATACTGGATGATTCAACGAACGAAGTTAAGTCGGGAAGCATGGTTGTACGAGAAGGGCGGCTCCTCCGACTCCCAAGTTGCCGAGCAAGGATGGACTGGTCTATGGCGGATCAGGGTCCCATCTAAGCTGAAGTTTTTCTTGTGGAGACTAGCTAGAAACTCGATCCCTACAGCTGCACTTCTCCACCACAGGAACATGTCATCTTCCAGGGCTTGTTGGTTATGTGGGTCTATGGATACTTAGCGTCACGCTTTTGTGGATTGCTCGGTATCTAGGAGCACTTGGGCACTGTCATCGGATGCTATTTTGGACAGGCTGAGCACATGTAGAGAAGAAAATCCAAAGAAGTGGTTGTTTGTCATGCACGAAGCTCTCAACCAGGATGATTTTCTTGCGTTTGTGGTTACCCTCTGGGCGCTGTGGAATTCACGAAGAAAGGCCATGTACGAGGATATCTTCCAAACCCCTTTCGCTATTCACAGTTTTGTTACATCTTATATAGCAGAGCTAAGGGCACTACATCAGCCAGGAGGGGTTGGCAGAGGGGCGGCCCAACGCAGGCCAAATCATTGGCTTGCACCTCCGGAGGGATTATCCAAAGTCAATGTAGACGCAATAGTGGGAAGATTGAATGGAGTAGTGGCAGCAGTCTGTAGAGACCGAGATGGTGTTTTCATGGGAGCATCGACAGTGGTATTTCCAAACCTGTCAGACCCCGGTGTCCTAGAGACACTCGCAATCAGGGAGGCCCTGGCACTCGGGGAGGATCTCTACGCCAGAAGGATTCATGTTGCATCGGATTGCAAGGTGGCCGTTGACGATATTCACCATTTATACGAAGGGAGCTACGGTGCAATTGTGCATGAGATCATGCAATATAGATTATCTTTTGAAACTTGTAATATTATTCACGAATTTAGGAGCTCGAATATCGAGGCTCGCAAACTAGCAAAGCACGCTTTATCTCTCGGAGTTGGCCGCCATGCTTGGTTAGGCCAACCCAATGAACTTGATTTCGTCCCTGTAAACATTGTGACGGAGTAATAAAGCTTTGCAGTTTGTCTCAAAAAAAAATTAAAAGGGTCGGGTTGGTCTTTGGCCCGCCATGGAACAAGGTCGAGCCCAAAAGCCGAGCATTAAGGCACGACACGACCCTTTTAGGTCCTGTTTGTTTGGGTTTTGAAAGTGCGTTATATCGACTAGAGGGGGGTGAATAGGCGATTTTAATGAAAGTCTTCAAAACATGGGAGTTTTGAAGACAAACGATAGAAATGAACCTATAACCATGCAGCGGAAGGTAGACTACCCTAGACAAGCCATAGTCAAGTATTCAATGAAGTGAAAGCACAAAGACTAACAACAGCTAGGCGGTACGGATCAGGATGGAAGATAATATGAAACCAATCTGAACAAACAGTCACACAGTGAAGACAAATGGACAATGCAAATAGGCAATGACTTCACAATGACCAACTGTAAATAAAGAGATGGGAAGGATAGAACCAATGAGCTTGGTGAAGACAAAGGTTTGGTAGACCAGTTCCAACTGCGGTGACAGTTGTATGTCTGGTTAGGGTGGCTAGGTATTTAAACCTGAGGACACACAGTCCTGAACACACAGCTCAGGACACTCAGTCCTCACCGTATTCCCCTTGAGCTAAGGTCACACAGACCTCGCCCAATCACTCTGGTAAGTCTTCAAGGTAGACTTCCAAACCTTCACAGACTTCATTCACCGGCGATCCACAATGACTCTTGGATGCTCAAAACGCGACGCCTAACCGGTTGGAGGATTCACAGTCCTCAAGTGTAAT